AGTTTATTGAGTAGATCAGCATTCAGGTCGTAGTAACAAACATCAGCATAATCTATAATAGGAAAAACCAAGGCCTGCACCAGCATTGCTTTCGTAGCAGACGGAAGCAAATTCTTCAGGCGATACAGTGTCCGCAGGGATCCGGTGACCCTTTTACATACACTAGCGACATGAGTATGCCACTTCAAATGACTGTCAATGTACAGGCCCAGATCCTTAACTTCACTACTAAGTGGGATTGTGGCACTGTCAAAGACAATATTCGGTAAATTTGGGTCCATTCCGCTCAAAGTACGAGGGCTGCCTATGACGATTGCTTGGCATTTAAGAGGATTCACCGCTATGCCAAACGTTTCAGACCAGTCCTTAATGGTACCCAAGTCATTATTGATCATCGTTATTGCATCGGACAGCCTATCAATATTAGCATGACAGTATAGCTGCAAGTCATCAGCATACAGATGGTACGCACACTGAAGTTGGGAAGTTATAAAATTAATGAAGATGGAAAATAAAAGAGGAGATAGTATACCGCCTTGAGGAACGCCAGTTTCCAATTTGCACCAATTAGATGAAACCTCATCAAGCTTAATGGACTGTTGACGCTCCTGAAGATAGGAAGAGAACCATTCCAGTGATTTGCCAGAGATCGCAAGATGGGATAAGATTGCTAAAAGGATATCGTGACTGACCATATTGAAAGCGTTCGAAAAATCAACCAAAACCAGAATAGTGGCCTTGGAGTCCTCAAGGCCCGCCCTAATATCGCCAGTCACTTTAAGGAGAGCGGAAACCGTGCTATGCCCAGGCCTGAATCCAGATTGTAGAGGGCTGATAAGCCCATTCATGTAAATGAATCTGGATAGCTGCTTATGTACACAGGCTTCAAGGACTTTGGATAGGAACGGGAGTATAGATATAGGCCGAAAATGAGAGGGAATAGTAGGGACAGAGACTTTCGGAAGAGGACGGACATAGGCATTACGCCACAGGGATGGGAAGGTTCCGGAAAAGAGGGAATAATTTATGATGTGAGTTAAAGCTGGCAGGAGGTGGTCCAAGATATTAGAGATCATATGGCGAGAAATGTTATCACAACCTACCGCTTTGGACTTGATGGATAGGATTATCTTACGGACCTCCGACGACTCAACTGGTACGAAGAGAAAAGGATGAGAGATGTTGGGACGCATCAGACCAGAAATAAAGTCCACGGTGCGTTTTTTGACTAGATGATCCATAACAGGGACTGTGGAGAAATGTTTGTTGAGATCATCTAAGTCAATCGAGTTGGGAAGGCCTGGATATTGCGCTTTGCCGATACCTAGAGTTCCAAGGAATTTCCAGATATCAGCGGAAGAGGAATTAGAGATATTTTCGAGAACATGGCGGCGCTTAGCGTTGCGTACCATCTGGTTACACCTATTTCTTGCAATCTTATAAGCTGCCCAATTTTCTTCTGTACGATCCCTTCGATGCATACGAAAAGCACGGTCTCGGCGCCGCATTGCCATCCTTATCCCCCGCGTCATCCATGGGGCAGGCGGCCGCTTTATTCTTACTTTCCTGAGGGGAGCGTGGTGGTCATACAAATTAGTCACAGTTGTGTTAAAAATTGTAACTTTCTCATCGATCCCAGTCGCCTCCATTAGAGGCTCCCAGTCTATCAATGATGCATCCCTTTGCAACTTTGCTTCATCCACCCGCGCAAAACAACGCCTGTACACAACCCTAGGCCTAGTTTCTTTCTCGTTCTTCTCCATTCGAATTCACACTGGAACGAGCACCTAGCTTCACTGACGATTAGATTGACAGACTACTATTCTATTTTCACGTTTGTACCGTTTTGTACATGTTTTCACAAATGTACCAATTTATGGTTTAGTTGAAATAAATGATTTTGACTTTGACTTTGAAACGAAATAAGTAGGTACCTAAGTATTAAAGTTGTCGGACTTGTCCGCTTGACCGCTTATTAAACTTGTCAGTCAACATAAGTTTATCTATACATCATCATCATCATTAGCCTATAAGTGCCCACTGCTGAGCAAAGGCCTCTTCTCACACGGAGAAGGTTTGAGCATTAATCACCACGCTTGCTCAATGCGGGTTGGCGATTTCAAACTTACAATTAGAAATTATAAGTCCAGGTTTCCTCACGATGTTTACCTTCACCGTATGTCAGTGATCTCTAAATAATCATAGAAAGTACATATAACTCGGAAAAAGTCACATTGGTACTTGCCAGGTTTCGAACCCACACTCTCGTGCATGAGAAGCGGGCTCCTTAACCTCCAGGCCACCACGACAGTGTTAGTGCAGACAGTTAATACATCATATCTATAAAATACGAGTGTTTGTTTGTAGAGTTGAAATAACCGATTTTTACTATATGAATATTGATATGGTACATAGGTACACAAAACAACACTGTTTAAAATTTATGTCTCTCTGTCTGTCTGTTCCTGCTAATCTTTGGAATGACTGAATCAATTTTGATTGGGACTTTACTGGAAAGCAGCTGATGTAAAAAGGAATACTTAAATTAGGATACTTTCGTTTAAGAATCGTTATGGAATATATATAATTATGTTGTAGCTAAATAGTTGAATTAGCCATCCAACCAACAGCCTGAATATGAACGTTTGATTAAATGACTCAATTTCTCATTCAGCCTGTAAGTTAAAGAGAGAAGAGATTGTCATGAGAACCGAGTTTGCTAGAATGGTAGGTAAGTTTAGATTAGAACTGTGAACTGTACAGCACGTCGATTCTATAAAATTTATTTGAATTTGAATCTTGTTTGTTTGAATCTAGCGTCGAAGTGACGGGGAAATTACATTCTAGAATGCCACTTTTAACGTCATCTCATACATTTATTTATCAAAATGTTGCGGTCAATTTAGTTCAACTCGCAAGTGTAGCGCTAGTATACTAGGTAGGTACTACTCACAGCGGATTCAAATTCGAAGTTTAGAATGAAGTCGCCATCGTAAATAAACGGCTGTTCAAATTACACTGCGATCTAACTGATTGATTGAACGTTATTTTAACCAGTCTGCGACATACCTACATAATATTATTCCGCATGATAGTGATAATCTATACTTATATAAAGTTTGTAAGTTTATGTTTAAGTCTTTGGACCGCCTGGTCGGATTGCCAAAATTCTTTCACTGATAAATAGCTTCAATGTTCCTGAGTGCTATAGGCTATAAAACATCACGCTACGATCTAATGGAGCCGAGAAGCGGGTGAAACCGCGCGAGAATAGCTAGTCAAATTATAAACGACACGAAGTCGCGGGTATAAACTAGGTTTATGAATTAAACGAATGGATACCGGCAGTAGGAACTTCGCGATTATGGCGTAAAACATTCTTATGTAATTAAAACTGCAGTCAGTTAGACGAAGAATTTATTACTGAACTAGTTATTCATTTGACATTGTCTTTACATTGGTTCTTATGTCATTTGTTTTTTTATTTGGTTGGACCGTCGTCTCGTCTGGTGGTACCACGCCTTCCCAAAAGCAACTCATTCACACTGACCTTTGGGACGCCCTTCGGCGAACACAGAGTCCGGCAAATAATTCCATTTTATTTTCTATTCCATTTCATTTAGCCATTTATAGCTTGCCCAGTTTTTGTTATATTTTATTTATTTTTGTACTGTATTTTTAGTTTTTAGTTATACTTTTTACTTGAACAGTCTAAAAGACTATTGTGCCTACCTTTAATTCAAGAGCTTACACTAACTGTTGACAATATCTTTTCTGTATCCATAAAACAATGGTTGAAGCATACATAAATATCAGTACAAAAATAATGCAGTTTGAAAACTAAACCATTTCAAATGCCATCTTCAACCCCGCATCCAAACTTTGAGATTATACCAAACCTAATATGCCAATGCCAAACTTATTATGGCTCATGGAGATAGTTTATACCTACGTCACAAGCTGATGATCAAAATGGCATGAATTAATTTTGTGTTATTTTGTTTAATTCCAGGCCCTTTTATCGAGTAACAAAGTGAACCAGAAAGGACCACTGTACGAGTTCGTGGTACCTTTCATCGGCTATGGGATTTTATCAGGAGGTAAACTTTTCCTACTAAGTAATATCACATTAACGCAAATAAAATTAATTAAGTTAATTAGATCAAGAATAGGATCGAAAAGGAGGATATATTTCGCCAGAGCAAGTAAGAAAACGGAGAATAGAATAAAATGGAATAATAGTTTAGCACGGAATGTAGGTATATAAAATATAAATACATTCATACATACATTACATACATACATTCTTAACTTAGGCATACAAAAATCAGAACATTTAGAGTAAGATTAAATTAATCATAGTTGAAAAATAGCTGGGAGTAAGGATAAGGTCAAACAGTGACAATAACAACAGATTTCTGTACCTATGTGAAAAGGCAGCTAACGTGCAGATGGACTACTTGATGGTAAAATATATACATATGTATAATAGCAATACCAGAGGAGTAAAGGGTTCCTTTTAAGGGTTTAAATTTAAGAATTCTAAAATTCTTAATTTAAGTGTTGCACGAATGGGTCGGCTCGACCGGAGTGATACTACGGCCTCACAATAAACTAGCTTGAAAAAACCACAGCGTTGTGTTTCGCCGTGTGAGTGAGGTTACTGGAGGCCCAATCCCTCCCACTCCCCACATCCCTTACCAATCTTTAAATATCCGATACCCTTATCCCCAAAAGACCGGCAATGCACTCGTAACTTTTTTGGTGTTGCGGGTGTTAATGGGCGGCGTCGATTGCATTCCATAAGGTTATACGCCGCCAGCTAGTTTGCCGACTAATCTCATAAAAAAAATTCAAGATAAAAGCTCGAAGAATTCAACCTTCGGTAGGTAATCTAAGTCACGTGGCGATACACGGAGCAAACAAGTTTCTGTGAGGCATCTGTATGACCCACGCTCTTTTAAGGCCATTTCAAATTGATTTTGTTAATATGCCATATAATGATTTCAGGTCCAATCTGGCGGGCTCACAGAAAAATTGTGACGCCTTCGTACAACAAGAAGTCTGTGGAGAACTTCTCACCTATCTTCAATAAAGAAGCTGAGCAGCTGGCGAGGATTATCTGCCAGAAAGACCCGAAGAAAAGCTTTGATGTGTACAAAGATGTTGTCAAGTTTACGACGCAGAGTGTTAACCGTAAGCCTTATTTATTACCTCTTTGGAAATTAACCATCAGGCTACATTCTGTTTTCATTTCTTTTTCTTGAAAAAAATTCAAGTGTATCATGATTCTAAGTTATTGTCGACTTACTTATTTCTTTTTTTTTGTTCTATGCTTTTGAAGAGTTCGTTACAAAATCTGTACACTTTCTCTTTAAAAAACATTGCCCCACATTTGGCTTTTCTCCAGTGTCGCTGGTGCGTTTACTAACATACGACCAGACCAGACTCGACAACTTAGGTCCGCGACACGTTGCACAGCAGCCAGTTGCCCAGCTGCTGGTGTCAACCGCGCAACTATTGACCCTTACCTTTTTTGACAGGGAACATCATCAAACGGTTCTCAATGCTTCAATGGTTCTCAATGGTCAGTAAGAGTCTGACACTTCCTCTCGACTCTTTCTCGGCGGGAGAAGGCAATTCGTGATTTTTCCCTATCAAAAAAAAAGCTGTACTGAAACATATAACAATATTGTTATATGAAGCTAGTTCGTCTAAAAATAGCTGCAATTAATGCAGAAATAATACTTAAATTGACTTAGCATTTTGTTTCTTTCAGAGACACTGATGGGGTTATCAAAAGAAGATTCCCAAAACTTGTACAGGATGGATGAGATGTTACGTGTCACACAAGAGTAAGTTACTATCAGTATCCTCAAACATTTGAAGATTATTTTTGGTCTAAAGTTTATTTAGGTTTAACGTACGTATACAAAATGAAAAAAAGATGTACTTTTGCGGGAGAAAGGGTGGTGGACTTAGTGCCATATCCTCTATCAGTCAACTTTTGGGTCAAGAAGTTTGGGAAAAATCTGCGGAAATTTGGTACGGCATAAATGCCTTGTACCTACCTAAAGGAAGAGAGAATTAATACAAACATATAATATTAGGATACAACAAATGCAAAAAACTCGATTGAATTAAATTGAAAACACATAAGTTACCTACCTAATAAACTCTTTCAGCATGTACAGTCTAATCTTCGATAAAATGACAAAATGGTGGTTACACGTGCCGCTAATATACTGGTTGCTTGGCAAGAAGAAGCAGCAGGATTACTACGTGAAGCTGATAGATGAGTTTACGGCAGACATTGTCAGACGGAAGAGAAAGGCCTTGGAGGTATCCGAGCCTAAGGAGGATTGCATGGGCATTGTGGATAGATACATTCTATCTGGAGAGCTTTCTGAGAAGGAGATTCGATGGGAAACCATGACTTTGTTTACTACGGTGAGTTGTAGCTTTGGAATTCTCCTACTGGTGATGGATTGAAGGCTTTTTTTCCTCCTACAGGCTGGACTGGATGTTGGCAATTGGGGAAAATCATCTAATGATTTCTCTCGCCCAGGCTCAGGCGAGAGGAAGTGTCAAACTCTTACTGACTAAAACCAACCCCGTACTTTATCCTGCTTCAGGCCCCGGCTGCGGAATTTTATTGCGCTTTTTTTTTGTGAGGGGAAAATCATCAAAATACTTCTCCCGCCCAGGGCCGGGCAGGAGGGAGTGTCAGACTCTTACTGACTAAAAACCCCCCTGTTCCTTCTCCTGCTCTGTGCCGAGGTCGCGGTGCCTCATTGCGCTTACCCCGCAACCCCGGCTGAACATCAGCCCTTTAGGGCCCCGTCTGTGGTGGTCGAATGGCTCTTTGAGGCGCGCGCGGAACGCTACGCCCCGTACGCTCGGGAATTTTATTGCGCTTGCCCCTCAACCTCAGATGAACATCGGCTGTGTTTGGCACCATCTGTGATGGTCTAATACCTCTTTGAGGTTAGATGTTGGCCCTAACGTTCTGTGCCTCTATTTAATGAATCGAGTCGGGTATTAAACCATATTAGACAGATGTTTTATTATTAATGTAGGTATCTACATTTTACTAGAAACGAAACAGTTTGTTTTGTATATGTATAGTCTTACGCATGGGTGACATGCTGATACTAAATTTCGCTACATGGGTGCTGTTAAACATATCACTCTGTCTATTAAAAATCTCATGAAAATCCGTTGCGTAGTTTGAAAGATTTAAGCACACATAGGAATATAGGGACGAGAGAGAAAGCGACTTTGTTTTATACTCTGTGGTGGTATACGTTTCTACATAGGGCTAGCTTGAAAGCAGGTATAGAATTCAGAAAATTGTTACAATTTCTAATTATAATATCCTAATTTCCATCCACGAAAAAATTAAATGACAAAAGTGGATAGTGTTTTATTTGGTTACGATTTTTGCTTTGCAGAGTCAAGAGGCAGCCGCTAAGATAGCTTCGGGAGTCATCATGTTTCTGGCCCACTTACCGGAATGGCAGGTATACCGTTCAAACTATTAAAATGTTTCAATGTTCCAGACTCTGGAATTACATAAACTACTTTTCACAAAGGTAACACCGAAAAGATGCAAAGCTGCAGGCAGAAACTAAGTAGTGTCACATAAATAAATAACAAGTCACAACGTAGTCAAGGCCTTTATATAAGAAATATACTAAAAATAGATTATGCATATTAAGCCTACAAATAGAATGCCAAATTCTGTCAAACTTAGATAGGTACTGACTACCTTTTTCGCTCCACAATTTTTATACTAGGTAAATAAAACATTCCGTGCGAGAGAATTCGGCGTGACTGCTGATATCACGGCCTCACAGAAAATCGTGAAATGACCACACCGTTGTGTTTCATTTGGGAACCTGATTTTTAATATCTGAGAACACAAGACGGCATTATTCTCAAAAATATTAATATTATCTATGACGTACTAACGATGTGACGTTTCGTGACGTAATGACTCGAGTTTGTTTTTTATTCGCTTTCGAATGAGCATTTGCTTTTGGTGGCTTCACTTTTGTGTTCTGTAGGGTATCTCTGCCTTTTTTCTGTAATAGGGGCTCATCTGTGGTGGTCTAATGGATACTAAGATGAGTGGACGCCATTGGTTTATTTTATTTTTATTTAAATAAGGTATGGAAAGTGAATTTAAGTAAAAAAAAAATTCTATACTATCTCATTTTCATACCATTTATTTATACCAGTGGTTAATACGTAGTTTGGTCGAGTTGTGCAAAAATATTCCAGATAAGTATAGACTTTAAATTTAAACCCACATATGGACCTAGACCAACATATGGACGATATCATAGGTTTGCACGCCTCTGCTATGAATAGCAGGAAAACGTTTTTCGGGCTACGAACTACTCGCTATTAGCTGGAATCTGCTAACTTTTTGGCTATACCTACATATAGTGTCATCTTGGTAATTTACATGTTCATTATTTATGTAAAATAGTAGCCAGGTTTAAGCAATATGACAATATCTAGAGCTATTTACGATAAATAAATTAAAATTTTACTGTCAAAACCAATGGTGATAAGTTGAGACCAATAGACCTCATATTCGACACTTTAGTGTAATCTGAAGAGCAAAAAACAATAATTGTTTTTGTAAAATGTAGATAGATTGTAGTAAGTTGCATAGACGGGTTATTTTGCTCGTATCTTAGAGTAAATAGGTAGGGAATACTTAGGTACTAGGTACTACATAAAAATATTAAGGCTATTTTGATTTATTATGTTTACTAAGTTAAACGAATTGTGATGCGCAGTAGGAATATAAGTAGGTTTAATATAGTGACAAGCAACGCGAAATCTATGTCACATATTTACAGGTCATCTAAAAAATGCGATCGAGGTCGCAAGCGCAACTTGCTTTGTGTATTGTACCTACGTAGTGTAATTAAAATTAAACTAATTACACTGTTATAACAAATAACTGAGAAAGTCCGAATCGAACTCTCGGACGTAGAGGCCCGTGCACATTATTACGTATTTCTTGTTTTGTTTTTAGTACGTATTTTTTAAGGGGCAACAAAAATATATCATCTGTCAATTTCAAGGGTCTGTCTTAAATAGTAAGAAGAACGGACAGCGTATTTTTTTAAATAGGGCGCTAATTTTGTCCCGTCCCTATTGGAACCTCACCTGCAGAAAAGCACTCAAAAATAATGAAACTATAAAAATTTTCATTGTACATACATCGTCAGCGGATTGGCAACTTCATACTTACCTAGATATAATTAGAAATTGTAAGTCCAGGCTACCTCACGATGGGAAGTCAGCGCTCTCCCTCCAATGTGGGAGAGCCATGCCTCGGTACGAATTGATCGGTTCAACTGGAGCGATACCACGGCTTTCCAGAAAACCGACGTGAAACAACTACAGCGTTGTTTTTGGCCTTGTGAGTGAGGTTACCAGAGGCCCAATCCTTCCTCTAATCTTAGATCCCTAATTCCCAAAAGTTCAGCAACGCACTGTAAACTCCTCTGCCGTTGCGGGTGTCCTTTGTATGCTCTAATTGCTTACCATCAGGTAATCCGTTTGCTTGTTTGCCGACTTAGGTATCATATAAAAAAACATATTTTCAAGCACCATAATTATGTGCTGTAAGAAGGTTGGGACTAAACAAATACTTAGGTCATATTGCCTCAAGAATGGTTATAAATGCAAAATAAGAAAACTATAACAAGAACTCATTTCTTAGAAATAAAATTATGAAATAGGTACAATTCCCAAAAACTACAAAAGTAAAAGTTCTAAAAGATAATCAATGCAAAGTTGTACCTATACTAAAATATTTATAATTAGCTACTTATGAGGTATAAAGTAAACGATTATTTCGCATATTCCTAACTTAGTAACTTAATGAAGGCACCTCATATAAGTAATATTTATATTTAACCTTTGCCAAATAATTACGAAATCCAGTTTATAATTTTCATTGTTATAAAAATAAATGCTAATCAGGTTGTCTTTTCAATGGTGAAATTTCAAGTACGTACCTACTTCATAATATTTTTGTAAATGTCTTAGAAGTTATGACAGAATATATTGACAATCACACAAATATTATATGTATGTACAATACAGAGTAGTATAAATAAAATAATATGATTTTAACGAAAGTATACGCGACATAACATGGATCCTTTTCATGTTCTTAGCGTATTGATTGACGTCAAAAGAAAAAAGAAAATGGCATCCTTTATGGACTGGCTACTTTGTTCTCCACCTGCCTATCAAATTCCTTTATCTCGTTAATATAAAAGACACAACCCTTTGATCTAGAACTAGGGTAAAAGCTAATGTCAATGAAGAAGACCTAAGCGAATGAACAAATAATCTACTTATTTTCTTTTGTTTTAGAGTTTCGTAGCCAAATGCGAAACGACGGAACCCTTATGGATTTGTCACTTCTGTCTAACATTCTATCTGTTTGTCCGTCCGTATATAATCTATCTGGATTTTTCCGAAACTATAACAACTATACTGTTTTAAGTTGGTATTTAAATGTTCTGTGACCCAGGACACGCCAGGTTTTATCATCGGAACGAATTAAGTTGGACACATGGCAAGTTAGATCGGTCGTCACATCTTATTTTACCACAGGTATTTAAACATTAATTCACTGGTATACGTAAATGACGCCCACACATGTAAGTAGTACCTAAATCCAGACTATGCCTTGCCATTGCTATAGCTATCTCTGTGCCAATTTAAATAAAAATTATTTAGTACCAAATTTTTAGGTCAAATAATTAGTATTTGACGTAATTACTACTAGAAATACTAAAACACCCTACCACTACCTATTAAAAACTTTTGCGTTTATAACAGTGTGGCGTGCGTCTTATTTAATCTGTGACATTTATAACACCTAAGACTTATTTTAAAAAATAATGGCCAACTAGGTCTATTATCGAACCAGTTATTCAAATTTATTTCGATATTTATGCAAGTTTAAAAATTTCGACATCTGATTAATCGGTGTAGGTAACGCAAAATTGGTGACCTCGACATGATCAATAAAACGAGCGAATTACTTGAGCCAAAATCGTGGTCGGTGGCAAAAGTACAAATATTGTAAAATTAACTAAACTAACTACCTGGTATTTTCATCAAATGACTTCTCTCATTCTTGGTGAGGCGAGAGGGAGTGTCAGACTCTTACCACAGTATAAATATCTCTTACTGACTAAAAACCACCTCATTTGTTCTCCTGATCTAGGCCAAGGCCGCGGTACCTTATTGCGCTTTTCTTACAATGTTACTTAGCACAATTTTCACCAAAATATGACATTGAGCCTATATTTAGATTACCTTTTAAAATAGGAACCATACTTTGAGGTTATGTCAAGGACAAAATAATATAAATTACAACACACACCGGTTTAATCTCGATTACCTAATCGAAACTTCGGAAACGATTCTAGAAAACACAACAACACAAAAAATATTTAAATTATGATTTACGATTGGTTTTTTAACGGTAAGGCCGTTAACCGTCGGAGGCATAATCCAATGTTGTCTTCGCCTTCACAAAACTACATTGCATTATAAAAAGAAAAAAATAATAATTTATTTATTGTTTTTTTTTAAGTAGATATTTTATAAACGTAAGTTTGACGATTTTGGAATGTTCGCTATTTGAAATAAAAATATAACTACATACCTATTATGTCATTATAATGCGATTTTATACAAAATTCATAGAAAAATATCGTATAGTATTTCAATACCAATATTTTTTTAATTCGTTGCCCCACTTTTTAGTTTCGTTTTCCTCTTGTCATAGTTGTGTTTACAAACATACTTCCCTATCATTTCACATCACAACCAGACCCGGAACGACAATTGTGGATCAAATTACCTACTAAGGGTTGTTCCGGATATTTTATGTAAATCGGGTTGTGATTTATAAATATAATATTAATTTTAGCTCTCCACGTACTCGTGGTCCGTGCCCTTGTCATGATAATATCTATGAATATTCTAGTTAATACCAATATCAATAAAAATAGGTAAAAAAACTTTTTGAATTAAACATATGCATAGACTAGACTAAAATAAAACCGTGGGGCACGTCAATTGTCTACAAATTATCGACATACACCCGGTTTCCGAAAGGCCGATCAATGTTAAAATCAATTTAATCTCTTGTCAAGTCATCTGATTGGTTGACTGATTTATCAACAACCAATCAGATGACTTGACAAGAGATTTAACAGGAGATTCAAAACATATGATAAACGTACTACTTGCTCACCACTATGAAACTCTAAAACTCGTTTCCACATTATAGCCCTACTTCTAACTAGGCCATTGTTGACACTTGAACAACTGCCTAATTATCTATAGTGTACATTACAAAACAAACATTTTAATCAACGGTTGTAGACAATTGACGTGCCCCACGGTTTTATTTTAGTCTAGTCTATGCATATGTTTATAATTCCCACAACTGTATCTATTTTATTAT